AGTAATCAAGAATGCCCTAGAACTTTTGCCTTGGGGCATGAAGAATAAATTTCGAGAACCAACTTTTGATATTTTTGTAAACTGCGTTAAAAAACGAGCAAGGGCACTAGGAGACCCTGTATTCGGTGAGTGCTCTACAACCAACACTGAAAGGTTTCACAGACCATTTACAGACTTTAAGAAATATCCAACCAGAGCTTTTGGAAATTCTGTGAAAGGCTATGAACAATCTACAGATAATGTAACAGCCAAGAAACATGTTCCTAGATGTCTTTACTGCAGATCGGACCACTGGCTTGAACACTGTTTGGAGTTAAGGCAGAATCCTATTTCAGAAAGAAAGGAGTTTTTACAGAAACGAGACATGAGCCCCCGATGTACATTTAGAGGTCATGAGGCCAAAGACTGCCCAAACACAGACTGGAAAATGTGCCAAATATGTAACAGAAAGGGGCACATTACCTTATTTCATACAGAGAATGACGCCAGAAAGGAAGACAGTTGACCGAATCTCTCAGCGCTGCCATTTCGACAATCCCATGTGAGAGTCAACATGACCATAAATCCTGATGACTTACCGGATGAAGAATTCGGTGATCTTCAACATTTAACCTGGGCTATATTAGACACATTTGAAAGCCTTCAGACTTGACAGAAATTTACATCTATAGTGATGCTGAAGCCGACACCTGTTTTCTCGAAGAAGAATTTTCCTTTGAAAAAAGATGGACAGGCCAACCTACGACAATGAATCTTACCACCATGCATGGCACATGCAAGATTGAATCACAGAAAATCTGTGGTTTAGAAATATTGGACCATGAAATAAAAGAAAGCTTTCTGCTACCTCCTTGTTATACTCGTCCGACACTACCAAACCCATACCAAGGCGACTACTTTATCGTTCCCTCACTTTAGACACATAGCTGATGAAATACCCCAAAAGACAGAATCCAAGATTGTACTGATGATCGGACGTAATGTACTATTAGCCGTCTCTCCACGGGAGGCCATCCCCCCAGCCAGTCCTACTTCACCTTGGGCTGAGAAAAACGGGTTAGGATGGTCTATTTTATATGCGCAGAAACCTACTAAACGATTTTGCAATTTTATTTCTGTCAGAAGCCCAACAGCAGACGATAAAGATGAATCGTCATTGATAATAGCCGAAAGTGAGTCATCCAAAGACTTGTCAACAAAAGAATACCTGAGATTGATGGAACGGGACTTTATTGAAAATGTACCTGATGAAGCTTCTATTTCTAAAGAGGATAAGAAGTTTGAAGACATTGTTGATAACAGTATTCATATGGTTGATGGACATTATTCTTTTGATTTACCCTTTCCAATGACCCTCCTGACCTAGAAGACAACAGGGAAGACTCGAGAAAACGTTTGTACGAGAACCCGACTTTAGACACGATTACATTAAATTTATGGAAGATATGATAAAAAATGGATATTTACAGAAGATTCCCGAAAACAATTCTATAAAGAAGACCCATTATCTAACACACCATGGAGTGAGACATAAGAAGAAGAAGAAATTAAGGGTGGTTTTTAATGCTAGCCTTAAATACATGGGGAAATCCCTAAATGATGAGCTGTACCATGAGCTTTACCAAGGACCCGACATGCTGACCAACCTGACTGGAGCCTTATGCCGTATGAGGAAAGGCAGAATAGCTCTAACATGCGACATATCATCAATGTTCATGATGGTGAAGATCCCTTATAAGCAAAGAGACTACATCCGAATACTTTGGTGGGAAGATGGGGACTCATCTAAACCCCCAAAGCATTATCATATTTGCTATCATCTTTTTGGTGCAGTTTCCAGTCCATTTCGTTCCATTAGAGCACTTCAACAGACAGCATGCGACAATGAGAAAGACTTCCATGCTGAGGTGAAAAACTTCATACTACACAATTTCTATATGTAGACAGTCTCGACGAAGCTTCCGAATTAGCATTAGAAGCTATAGACATGTGCAGTAGAGGGGGATTTGATCTTTGTAAATTCTCTTCAAACTCTAAAGACTTTCTACAACGGCTTCCATCCGAGAAAAGAACCCCAGAAGTCAACGACACTTTCGATTTTGAATTAAACGACCTGCCTCATCAAAGAACTCTAGGAATGATATGGAATACAGAGAGCGATGCCTTTCAATACCATGTAGACATGCCTAACAAGAAGAGGCTGTTTATCAAGTCTAAGTTCCGTCTTTGACCCTATGGGGTTAATATCTCCGGTTATGTTACCCGGTAGAATGATCCTGCAAGAGGCATGTAAACTCAAACTTGCATGGGACGAATCTCTACCTGACAAAATGGAGAACAAATCTAGAAGATTTGAAGCATCTCTCTATACCTAGATGTTATAAGCCTACAGATTTTGAAGACATAATTTCATCAGAATTACATTTATTCAGCGATGCCAGCACATACGGTTATGGTGGATGTGCTTACTTGAGACTTAAAAATGGCTCTGGTCAGATAGAAATATCCTTGGTTATGGGGAAAAGTAGAGTAGTTCCGATTAAGCCAATCACAGTACCACGTCTGGAACTAACCAGTGCTGTCACCATCACAAAAGTAGCCAAACTACTTAAACGTGAGCTGAAAATTTCCGATCTTCAAGAATTCTTTTGGAATGACAACACCTGTGTACTGGGATATCTTCGAAGTGAAACAAAGCGCTTCAAAACTTTTGTCTCACACAGAGTTCAGAGAATACAAGACTACACCAATGCGAATCAGTGGCATCATGTTGCAACCCAGAACAGCCCTGGTGATATAGCGAGTCATGGAATCAAACCTGACAAAATTATGGGTTCCATCTGTCTGAGTGGACCTGATTTCCTTTGGGAAAATGATGAATTTTGGTACCATAATGACCATCAAGACATTTTCAAAATCAACACGGACAATCCGGAATTAAAGACTAAGACTGCTAAAGTTCTCGCGACCAGACAAGCAGACACAAAAAACAGAACTATCCTCGACATTTAGTACTCTACATAAGGCTAGGAAGATTGTTGTGGTTTGCATACACTTCATATAAATATATTACTTAATGTCTCGCTCTCAACCATTAAACCATACTTAACTGACTTGAACTGAACATAGAAAACACTCTGAATATATATGTCTATATCAACAAAATGTGCAAAATTTCGAACGAGAGATGTATTGTGTCCCAGTGGATTTTGTATTTTCTATAATGTCTTATTTTGTTACTAAAAATAGATGATCTCTACCATAACAAGCGGTTGTCATACAAGATTCATATAATTTAACATATAATTTAAGCTCCATTAAAATTGGATAACAATTGTGACCTCTAGAGGGTCCACAAGCTTGGTATGACAAACTTTACACTATTTGCGTAAAGGAAGCAGCCTTTGTCGGGATGTTTTGGTCCGATTTCCTTGAAATTCGAACACAATTGTCAATATGGTGTAATGGTGATATATTTAAACGTTTTATTTAAATCAGATAAAAATTGTGACAGCGAGAGGGTTCCACAAGCTTAAAATTCGACTTTTCTTGCAATCAGGGACCATAATCCAAGAGGTTACGGTCTGATATGCGCGTATATCTACAGGAACCTAGATCTTTGGAAGAAATACTTATATTTCAAGTTTGGTCAAAATAGGATAAAAATTGTGGCCTGTGTGGCCACAAACAAAATGTGAACGGGAACACGGACGGATGAAGGAAGACAATATACGTAAACATGAAAATGTGGGCTTATAAAAACAATACAGGAAATCTGTAAATTATGCCTACTATGAAATATCTTATTATATCACAATAATTATTCTGCGAATTCTTGTCATATACACCGCCTTAAGGCGTTTGACGTCACCGATAACAAGTTGCCGAGATATGAGCATTTAGAAAAGAAAAAAATCAGGTCAATCGTAATACAAGGTTTGGTCACTGTCACAGTATCTTATGGTTACAATTACTGACAGTCACAGTATCTTATAGTTATAATTACTGACTGTCACAGTATCTTATGGTTACAATTACTGACTATCAAAGTATCTTATGGTTACAATTACTGACTATCAAAGTATCTTATAGTTATAATTACTGACTGTCACAGTATCTTATGGTTACAATTACTGACTATCAAAGTATCTTATAGTTATAATTACTGACTGTCACAGTATCTTATGGTTACAATTACTGACTATCAAAGTATCTTATAGTTATAATTACTGACAGTCACAGTATCTTATGGTTACAATTACTGACAGTCACAGTATCTTATAGTTATAATTACTGACTGTCACAGTATCTTATGGTTACAATTACTGACAGTCACAGTATCTTATAGTTATAATTACTGACTGTCACAGTATCTTATGGTTACAATTACTGACTATCAAAGTATCTTATAGTTATAATTACTGACTGTCACAGTATCTTATGGTTACAATTACTGACTATCAAAGTATCTTATAGTTATAATTACTGACAGTCACAGTATCTTATGGTTACAATTACTGACAGTCACAGTATCTTATAGTTATAATTACTGACTGTCACAGTATCTTATGGTTATAATTACTGACTGTCACAGTATCTTATGGTTACAATTACTGACTATCAAAGTATCTTATAGTTATAATTACTGACAGTCACAGTATCTTATGGTTACAATTACTGACAGTCACAGTATCTTATAGTTATAATTACTGACAGTCACAGTATCTTATAGTTATAATTACTGACTGTCACAGTATCTTATGGTTATAATTACTGACTGTCACAGTATCTTATGGTTACAATTACTGACTATCAAAGTATCTTATAGTTATAATTACTGACTGTCACAGTATCTTATGGTTACAATTACTGACTATCAAAGTATCTTATAGTTATAATTACTGACTGTCACAGTATCTTATGGTTACAATTACTGACTATCAAAGTATCTTATGGTTACAATTACTGACTGTCACAGTATCTTATAGTTACAATTACTGACTATCAAAGTATCTTATAGTTATAATTACTGACTGTCACAGTATCTTATAGTTACAATTACTGACTATCAAAGTATCTTATGGTTACAATTACTGACTGTCACAGTATCTTATGGTTACAATTACTGACAGTCACAGTATCTTATGGCTACAACTGTCTCATTGGTCATATATTATAATTACTGAATGTTACAGTGGTTATATATTATAATTACTGACTTTCTCAGTAGTTATATATTGTAATTACTGTCACAGTAGTTATATTAGAATTACTGACTGCCTCGCTGGTTTTAATTAGAATTACTGACTGTCTCAGGGTCTAATGACTGCAACCTATAAACATTGGCTATCACGCTATGAACGCAGGTCAACTTATCCACAGGTCAGCTCATCCACATGTCAACTAATCCACAGGTCAACTCATCCACTGGTCAACTAATCCACAACCAAACTCGTCCACATGAAAAGTTTGGTTAAGTCAGGCACAAAACCTCTGATGCCTGTCACTTTGTCCGGCACTGATTTGTCTTTTTTATTGATATTATTAATACAATGTCCGGCACTAAGTTGAAAATGTCAGGTACTATTTCATTAGTGCCTGATATTTTGTCAGGTACATCTAAAACCATTATTTCCAGGCCTGTTCACTCGCAACATTTATCTGTTAGGAACCAAAGAAGCTTTTGATATTTTTAGCGCATGCTTGTCCAACTATTTCACTTAGGTCCTGAAATATATAATGAATTATAAATAAGAAATTATATTAAGTTGCATTCTAGAGAGAGACTTTTTCAAAATAAACAAGATCTACATTTATGCAGGAGAGGAATTTTTTCAGACCTCTGAATTTGAGCATTTGTCACGATTTTTAAAGTCATTTTGAGCTTGGAATCTTTTGTAGAAATTTTTTATGACTTGACACGCTATTTTAATCTGGATAATTGTTTTAAATATCAATTTAATGATACAATTAAACAAAAATAATCATGAATATCCCAGAATTTGGGCATCTGTTAAAAAATTTAAATACTGGTAATTCTAGAAAAAGGTCTTGCTTTGTGAACCATCTTGTCAGAAATGTTTGTGATATAAAATGGCACTAAAAGAACCCTTGACAGTTGGCTTTAGCCCCGCTGTCCAGGCAAAATTTCCCTCATACGCCCGTCTTATTAGCCCAGTCTGTGCAGAAAAGTAGAATGTTAACACCATTTCTTTTCATTTCATTTAATCTATCAAGTACTGTCATTTATAATGTTAAAGATAAAAAATTTTAATATATTTTTCAGTAACCTGTGTACATTACATACCTCTACTGGAGCATTACAGATATCCTTCAAACCTAGAAAAAATCATTTTTAAAAAAATTGATAAAACAAAGAAATGAGAGAGAGAGAGAGAGAGAGAGAGAGAGAGTGGTTTAACGTCTACTCTACTCCACACAAACTAGGTCAGTTTGGGACTAACATATGGTTCAATTTTATTTCAATAATTCACTTGCACGTTTTTAGCAGTGGAAGGAAACCAGAGGACCCGGAGAAAACCCATGAGGTTGGACAGGCGACCCAACTACATGCCAGTCGACTCAATGACCATATGATAAAACGCGCACCCACTTGCTAATTTTTGCGTTTAATCATCAACAACCTTGAACAGCAGATCAGATTCAAATCCAATGAAAATCGAACAGATAAGACGGCATCAAGAGCTGACTATGATCTTTTCGTGTGAATAGTTTATATAACATTTCAGGCCTAACGAAAGAACTGCAATTGGCAGATTAACCTCTCGCATAATGCAAGTCCATTCGATTTTTTTTCAATAATTTGATTGCACGTAAAGATTTTTAGCTATGGGTGGGAAGTGAAGGACCCAGAGAAAACCCACAAGGTCGGACAGGCGACTCTACTCCTTGTCGCATACAAGTGGGAAATCAAAATCACGCCACTAAACACAATGTCAGACCTTATCATTTAACATGCACATGTTAAACCATTTGGCTAGCCAACCCAGCCCCTGTAAGAGCAACCCCCGCCCCCTCCTAACCCCCTGTAATCGTTGGGATTCAAAGTAAGAGCAGGGGGACTGTACCACACACAATTACACAAAACAAAAGTAAAAGTAAGAGCTTACTTTTATATTTTTGTAGAATAAGCTTGGCTTTAACATCTCCTAGTTTTGGTACACATGTTAAAGTATTTAATATAGCTTCGTCTATGTTTATTGACTTAGGTTTTTTCATGATTAGATTGCTCGCATTCCTAGTTTCTACATGAACCTGTAAAAATAGAATGAAATGAAATGAAATGGGGTTAAACATCTTACTTTTCTGTACTGACTAGGCTAATGAAATGAAATGAGGTTGAACGTCCTACTTTTCTGCTCCTATACTGGGCTAATGAAGATGGGCATACACCATGGCATACAGTTTGCTATGAGGGAAATTTTCCCCGGGCAGCGGCACTATGACCTAGTTTTATATCGAATTCCAACTGCTAAGGGATCTTTTACGTGCACGCCAATGTATACACATGACTTCGTTTTCCTCGGTTTAACATCTCATCCAAATGACTAGACAGCTGTCCTTGTCAGACCCTCTGTCCTGCACCACCGATGAACTTTCTCGGCCACTGCAGGGATCGAATGCGCGACCTCCAGGCTAGCGAGCCAGTGTCTTACCCACACGTCCTACAGTTCTAAACTGACTGGGCTATTGAAGACGGGCACACGTCATATAGTGTGCTATGTGGGTCATTGTGTCCAGATAGAGGCACTACGGCCTACTCTTATTTCGAATTCCTAATAATATAAAGTTACATGCATTCAATGAATTATAAGTTGATTGTGGTTGTATCACATAATATATAGACAAATTTTAATTAATATTTTTAATGAAATGTTTACCATTTGAACTAATAGTTTAGCTCCTTCTTGTTCATTTTCAACAAATAAGAGAACCAGTCCTAACTCTAGGTTAGCAAATCTCTGTAAATCACTTAAATATTGTTGACTAACAGATGTCTTCTCGGCTATCACCACACCTCTAACTTTATTAGCCTGGTAATGAAATAGACAAATTCAACAAAATGAAATGGGGTTTAACGTCCTACTGTTCTGCTCCGACTGGGCTAATGAAGACGGGCCTATGCCATAAAGTGCGCTATGAAATAAATTTTGCCCTGGCAGCGGCACTATCTCCCTCTCTTATATCGAATTCCAACTGCCAAGGGATTATTTACATGCAAGCCAATGTATACACAGGACATCGTTTTTTGTCCCATACGAATGACTAGACAGCGTCCTTGTCAGGCCCTCTGGCCTGCACCACTGACATGGGGAAACCACCCCGGAAAATCCAGATAAACTTTCTCGGCCAATCCAGGGATCGAACACGCAACCTCCAGGCTAGCGAGCCAGCACCTTACCTCTTAGACAAAATTTCTGCTCATTTAGGTGCATACGTGAATAGGATTAGACTGGAGTAATGCCAGAGCAGCAGCAATTCTTCCCACATTATTTCGATGAACATGGGAGAAATAAATATGGTCAGTGTGAGGGTCTGGAATCTAGTTACGGTCGTTTTCCATAACCCTAGGTCTTGACCGGCATATATGGATGGCCGACATGGAACCCAGATTCTGGATCCCATGGACCCCCCCCCCTCCACACTCTGGAGAGAGAGAATTGGGGTTTAACATCCACTCGACTCAGGCTAGGTCATTTCGGGACTAACATGGTTTAATTTTATTTCAATAATTTGCTTGCGCGTAGGGGTCTTTAGCAGTGGGAAGAAACCGGAGGATCTGGAGAAAACCCACGAGGTTGGACAGGCAACACTACTCCTTGTCACGTACAACTGGGGATTCCAAACCACCCCAGTTGACTCAATGGCAGACCTCATGATACAGCGCGCACGTGCTAACCATTCGGGGGGTTTGGATGGCCGAATGGTTAGCATGCGCGCGCTCTATCATACGGTCTGTCATTGAGTCAACTGGCGGGGTTTCGATTCCCCGGTTGTACGTGACAAGGAGTAGGGTCGCCTGTCCAACCTCGTGGGTTTTCTCCGGGTCCTCCGGTTTCCTCCCACTGCTAAAGACCCCTACGCGCAAGCGAATGATTGAAATAAAATTGAACCATGTGTTAGTCCCAAAATGACCTAGTTTGTGTCGAGTGGACGTTAAACCCCAATTCTCTCTCTCTCTCTCTCTCTCTCTCTCTCTCTCTCTCTCTCTCTAACCATTCGGCCATCCAACCCCCCTCCCCACTCTGGAAAAATGCCTGGAATGAAAGACACACCTTTCTAAGTTTGGCCAGTTTTCTTCTATAACTTGTAGATGATATCAGATCAGCTTCAGATATATAGATAATACCAGTATAACTAGATGTGTGAAAATCAACAACACCTAAACTATCTTCAAAATGAACAGGAATTGATGCTGAAAAAAATAAAATTGTAAAATCAGGTGTCATGTTGTGATAAACTCAGAGAGAAAGCTTTTTTTTGATGTGTTGGAAAATTTTATTGTACCAACTCCAAGTTAGTGCGTTCGTACTGCCGCACACGACGAAAACACTTAAAATTTTTAGCATGGACAAGGTGTAGACAGTATAACTTATAAGTCATTAGTTCATTTCTGAATGCATGGACTGAGTTCTCTGCAATCCCTGCATTGGCCAAGAAAGTTCATCCAGATTTTCTGGTGTGGTTCCCCCTTGTCGGTGATGCAGGACGGAGGGCCTGACAAGGAAAGCTGTCTAGTTGTTTGGATGGCATGAAAAACCAAGGTCCCATGTACACATTGGCGTGCACGTAAAAGTTAGAAGTCGATATAAGAGTAGGCCGTAGTGCCACTGTCCGGGCAAAATTGAGCAAGTTGTGTTTTTTGTTTATGTTTTTTTTAATTGCACCTTAATATTAATAAAGTAAAAGAGACAGGATCGGTCATGCAGTGGACTTTGTCCATTAATTAGACTGTTCTGAAACGTACTAGAGTAACCTGCCTATACCTATGGAACACTTATACATTTGGGAGAACGCTAGATCAGACACGATCCTGCACATATGACGTCATTTGTGGATTGTGACCGTTTATGGTAGGCCCCTAACATTAGGCTTGGGCTAGGATCTGCGATATCACTTCGGTGGAACAGACGTTAAATAAAGCTATTTACACGTTAAGGTTTACGCTAGCCCTATTTACATTTCGAGACGATATCTGCAGGTCCTAATCCTAACCCATATGTGCTAAAATGTGCAGGACCGTCTCCGATCTAGCGTTCTCCATACATCTTTTGCTTATTTGTACATGCTGTTAATTAATGATCATGTTTGTAACAACAGCGGGATCGTTAGTTTGCGATCTCGATATATAGAAATATTAATCATACTGACACTGTAATGTTTCCATAAGTTCAGTATTACGCCACCTGCCACTGACAACAATATGACCATACGGAACTCTCACGGGAGTTTCTGTAAAGTCTTGTACATAACTACTCCCTGTTTTATCGTGTTGTTTACGTTTAGAATCTGAAACACCCGCCATTACTGTAGACGTGGACATCACAGTGTGTCTTCACTGTAAGTGCAAAGAAAGAACTGGATAACCTCGACTAAACTGGAAGTCTTAAATGAATGAAATGAAATGAAATGAAATGAAATGGGGTTTAACGTCCTACTGTTCTGCACCAAAACTGGGCTAACGAAGACGGGCATACGCCATACAATGTGCTATGAGGGAAATTTTGCCCGGGCAGCGGCACTATCGCCCACTCTTATATCGAATTCCAACTGCCAGGGATCTTTTACGTGCATTCATGTATACACGGGCCCTCGGTTTTTCGTCTCATCCGAAGGACTAGACAGCTGTCCTTGTCAGGCCCTCCGTTCTGCTCCACAGCTGACATGGGGAAACCACGTCGGAAAATCCAGATGAACTTTCTCGGCCAATTACACTACAGAAACCTGCATCATCTGATTGCGACCAGAGCTAAGTCTAAAGCACAAAGTCATCTTTTACCTCGTTTTAAATGTTACATACAATCATTGTAAATGCCTCGACATAGGGTGCACATTTCGTTGACTTTCACATTTATATTTTAAAAAAAAAAATGTTTAGGAATGTAAGTTTACATTTACGTTGCTATTGATCCCATTTTTATTTATTAATATATTTAACGTATGTCCAAATAATATTCGAATAGAACTCACCATATTCGAATATTTTCGAATATCCACAAGCGTCATTTTCATCCATTCGTCCCGCAAGCACCCTCAATGAAACAGAATTTTATTCCTGAAAAGTATAATATATTTTATAAAGAATGAAGGAATGTTCGAGACGAATTATAGTTTTAGAAACTCTAAGTATTCAGAATTTTAGAGACACTCTAAGTCTAATTTAAGGACTGCATTACCAAAATGGATCCATTTTCAAGCATCTCTTGGCCAGGTTCGTAACTAAGTGGGGGTGGCGGGGGGGGGGGGGTAGTCCCGAAATGACCTAGATTGTGTCGAGTGGACGTCAAACTCTCTCTCACTCTCTCTCTCTCTCAAACACACGTACACACACACACTTAAAGGGGAACGACAGTGACTCAGTGAGTAAGTCGTTGGCTCGCTAATCAGGAAGTCCCGTGTTTGATCCCTGTGGTAGCTGAGAAAGTACATCTGGATTTTCTTGTCAGTGGTACAGAACTGAGGGTCTGGCAAAGAGCAAAGTATAGTCGTTCGGATGGGACGAAAGCTCGTGTAGCCTGTACATGAATGCAGCTTAAAACCCACGAGACCTTCACACCTCAATGTAATTACCCCTGCGTATTATGGTGGTTAATAAGAGAGAGTGAGAGAGAGAGACGGGGTTTAACGTACACTTGACACAAACTAGGTCATTTTAGTAAAGTTAATTTCAGGCAGATTCGCGCAGGCGTGGAGGTAAACTGGAGGTACTCTTCGGGCGGGTTCATAGCTTAATATGAGTTTACTCAACCTAAAAAATTCTTTAATTCCAAAACCTTAATTAGAACGATTAATTACCTGTCTCTCACGTCGGTCACAAAACAGATTAATGGAATAATTACAGAGTGTTTACAGGAAGTTCATACCGAGACCATGATCCAGTTCGCTCACTGCTGGTGTTAGATTTATCATGGACCTTATAATATATATAAGGTCCATGGATTAATCTGAAGCATTTGAATTGGTAGTTCATGATATTCCCCTCCATAGTCTAGAATCGGAGTTCGGTGGGTCATGGGGGGGGGGGGGGCATAATTTAAGGGTTGTTCACAAAGCATTTGCATAAATATTATATCACCAATTTCCTCGGATGTTGATCATAAGAGCCCAACAAGGATTCGTTCTGGGACCAATTTACGTTAGTCTTCATACCAAACCCCCTCGGCCATATATTCAGCAACATGGACTATCAATCATTTGACGTATACTTTTATTAGACCCAACTACATTTCGTTTAAACCTAATCGGTGTGATTTTAATGTGTCCAAACCCCTCGGCAACATGGACTATCAATCATTTGACGTATACTCTTTCTACACCCAACTACATTTCCTTTGTATCTACTCTGTGTGATTTTAATCTGTTCAGAATCAACATTGAAACATATACTCTTCAAAAAAAGTAAGGGATATTGAAATGCAAATACCAGGCGCGGATCCAGGATTTTTTGTAGGGGGGGGTCTAGGTTGGATAATTGCTTAACTAATTGCGGTGGGCTTAGCCCACCGCCACGAGCGCCGAAGGCGGTAAACGTTGTAACGGGGGGTATGGGGGTCCTCCCCCAGAAAAATTTGGTAAATTAGATTCAATTTGGTGCATTCTGACGTATTTCCGGAAGGTAAATTCCAAATTTACAGGTCTAAAAGTCAAAATCTCCAATAAAATCGCATAAAATGTCCTTAAAATGTTGATGGGGAATGCTCCCTTCACATGTGAGGAACAAAATATCTTCAGATACCATATTATGGTTGTTCTTAACAAGTTTTATTAGCAGTATCAATTTACTATTAGAGTAACCAGTCCATTTAAGTATAGGAAAGTTGGTCGGGGTTTTCCAGAGCACAAACTTTCACAGACGAAAAGTCTATAGACTTGGTTTACTATTTTTACTTTCAGCGCATAAAAATAAATAATATAGCTTGCAATAGTTGCACAGGCTTAATCATAAATGTGGAGGTTTACAGGGAATTTTCACACAAAATTAAACAGATTTATCTTCCAAAATTTATGTGGGACCTTCACTTTAACTGTGCAATGCAGAGAAAAGTCGGCGTGTCCAACGATATTCTCGACATTTAGCTGGAGCTTTCTGTTAACGTTGATGAGCACCAGGGCACTCAGGCGTTCTTCTCTTAACGTTGATCTCAACCTGGTTTTTATTCGCCGAACAGCCGAAAATGATCGCTCCGCAACTCAATGTATACAAACTCGCAATTTTGGGTCAGATTCACAGTTTTGTTTTGTTTCTGAATATCCCCTACTTTTTTTGATTATATATTCAGGATATCAAGACTTGGATGAGCAATACTTTTCTAAAACTTAACGCTGATAAGACTGCAGCGGCGGATCCAGGGGTGGGGGGGGTCGCCTTGTGTGTGTGTGTGGGGGGGGGGAGATACATTGTCTCAGGAACCTGGCCAACCCCCTCCTGCAAAAATTCCTGGATCCGCCCCTGGACTTGGTACCTTGTGATGGGTCTGGGAAAAATCTGAAAAAATAAATTAAACTGTTACCTCCCTATTGATTTAAACAGTATTTATTCAAGGATTGAAAAACATGCCAAGGGCTTATATCAATTCGTCTCCCTATTTAATAGGGGGTTGGGTGATCGAATGGTTTAACGCGAGCGCGTTGTATCTTAAGATCTGTCACTGAGTCAAGTGGCGGGGTTTCGATTCTCCGCTTTCACGTGACAAGGAGTAGGGTCCCCCATTTCTCCGGGTCCCCCGGTTTCCTCCTAAAGACTCCTACAAGCAAGCGATTTACTGAAATTAAATTGAATTATATGTTAATCCCGAAATGACCTAGTTCCCGTTGAGTGGACGTTAAACAATTTGTCATAGCCAAAGATCGGCATTTGAAGAATACCAGTCCAAAATGGTTCTTAAAGATGGTTTATGGTTTTGAATATATGAAATTCCCGGCTTACACTTAAAACAAGGTTAAACGCTAGCATCCTCCACAACAGATTTGTTTCAGTGGGCCACAAGATACACGTGGGCCCTAGTCGAATGGTCTACTATGCATATTTGTAAATTCGACCCTGATCAGCTATCAAGAACAGAGCGCATTTATTTTATTTTATTTCTTCTTAGCATTTATTGATCTATTTTGAAATGTAACAAATATACGTGTTGTTTTACTTATTGTATCATTATGTATGTTGAACAGTAAACAATATTCCAGCTGTTAAAATATTATCTAATTACTTAAAGGACCATGTCACTCGATGTCAGTTACTGTGGATATAGAAATCAATAAATAAAAATATTCGCGTCAATAACTGGTGTTTCAAAAATGTTGCGAAAAATGCTAGATTTGCTTGGATTACAACGTGCCAAAATGCTACAGAGCGTGGTGAGGTCGCTATGAAATGCTTAAATACCCGGTTAGTGCTAAATGATAAGGCCAGCTCAATTTTTCGTCATAGGTCGCGAGATGTAAATAGGACTAGCGCTAATCCCAACCCTAACCCTAACCCTGGACCTAGCCCCAATGCTTACCCTAACCTACAATCTCGCCAACAATCACGTGCCCTAACCTTATTTACATGTCAACGAAAAATTGAGCTGGCCTTATCATTTAGCACTAACACCTAAAAACAAAATCAGCGAAGTTTTCCTTTAATATAGTTATAACAGTTTCGTCTACAAAACTTTATTTTAAAACCGCGTCCCACTTATCCTACCCGAGTCTATAAATCTTTACTCTTTATTATGGTGAACAGAAAGGTAGGAAAATTTCATTAATATCAGAACATTTTCTATTTCCTGATATCCAGAAGTTTAATAAGACCAATGTCTATTTCCTGACACCCAGAAGTTTAATTAACATGGCGAATTATTGCGAGGACAATCTCAAAGTATAGCTAGGTAGTGAATCTTACTAAGATCTGTGAAATTTAGGAAGTTGTGAATATTCTAAAGAAAACATTAAAATCTGGACAGAAGGGAAATGAAATGAAATCGGGTTTAAAATCCTACTGTTCTGCTCCGAACTGGGCTAATGAAGACGGGCACGCCAATGTGTACACGAGACCTCGGTTTTTCGTCCCATCCGAACGACTAAACAGCTGTTCTTGTCAGGCCCTCCGTCCTCCATCACTAACAAGTGGGAACCACGCTGGAAAATCTGGATGAACTTTCTCAGCCAATGCCGGGATCAAACGCCCGACCTCCAGGCTAGCGAGCCAGCGTCTTACCCACTTAACCACCGTGACCCAACTGGACAGAAGGGACTACTAAGTATAATATACATATATGTACTATTCAATCATTCAAAAACAAGGTAATAGCAGATGAAATTTAGCGATAAACAAT